GGTCTTTCTTGATATGTAGATTGTCGATCAATTTTTTTCTGTGCTACAAATATCTCAAAATCAGGGTAGGCCAGCATGAACAGTATATAATTAACAAATACGTTTAAAAAGAAAAGCATATTTTATATGCATCTGGCCACTAGAATATTAAAAAGTACATCACCAACAAAATGGAGTATGCTGTTGGTTCTTTGAAACAGGGGAAGGTAAAAGCAAAGGAAGTGAAAGCAAGCAATCGAGATAAAACGCAAGAGGCTGAAGAGAAATGAAAGTACAACTGAGAAAACAACATTCCTTATGTACAAGCAGAATATAACACCTACCCTAGTCTGCAGGTCGTCCACAACATTCGTCTGTTTATCATACTCTGAAAAGGTGTCATTCATAGAGCGCTGCAGTCCTCCGCTGATCTGAACAGACAATAAAGGTTACTTATGAATGGGCTCACAGAGTATACAACTGAGCCATCACAGATTTAAAATGATGGTGAAACATCACACAAACGCTGCATGACAGAGAGCATATATCTGTAACTCACTTTGCCTCGGAAGATGATGCCAAGCACCAAAGCAGCCACTTCAGCTGCAAAGATCAGAAAGATGATCGCAAAGAACTGGAAAATGAGAAGTTGAGAAGACATTTAGTAAAACACAAGCAGAGTGAAAGAATACAGAAAAGGCTAAGGGAAAACAAAACATTAAAGATGACCACTAAAACTGTAACTTCTTGTCACCTTCAGGTTCTACAGCTAAGGAAATGAGCATGTAGCTGCTGAGTCAGACAGACACATTTCAAGAAAGTGAAGCACAGATCATAGTTTGCACCTCTCTCCTCTCATACACACTTACACAGCTGAGGCCGACTTTGGACTCCCGGATCGTGGCGCAGCATCCCAACAGTCCGAAAATGAACATCACCACACTGACAGCAATAATGACAATTGCTGGGATTGTGTAGTTGTCCTCAATGAAACTGCTGAAGTTGGCATAGTTAATGATCACATAGCTACCAACGTAGGCCAACGCCGCTCCAGCAGCCTACAGGGGAGGAAAACATCAAATGTTACAAATCAGTGTTAATTCACAGCTGGCAAGTTAGCAAAACGGTAAATGAAATCATCGTGACCACAAGAAACTGACATTTCAGAGGTATATAAAAGGACAGAACCTAGAGAGCTACTTGTTAAAAACAGCCAGATAAAGCACAAAGCGGTTACCTGTTGTACATGCTGTCACACGTATACAGACCACTGTTGACTAGAAACAGAACTGCTTGAAACCACAGTGGCAGTTTAATGATGCCTTGACTGTAAAGTGAGACCACCGTTTATTCTGCTTTTTGTAACCGTTTAATAAAAAC